CACTTGATTTGTTTGGGTTGCTAAAACGACTAGAAGAAATCATGTTATTCCGTCAACTGTATTTGTACAAGAATTCTGAAATATGTAGATGGAAATTGGACTGGAGCAAGCCGAATACCGTTTGAACCCTGGGAGAAATGAAACATAGAAGGCTAGCGGCTACGCGTACACAATTTGGTATGTTTTTGTAACAACTATTTTGGTGACCATTCGTCGCTTGGTCTGGCAATTGTTGTTCCCTCCATTTGATGGACCGTTGTGAAGTCTAAGGCAACTAGTGAGTTCAAAGGTGGGAAGTTTGTTTGGTGTTGTATGAAGGTCATTGTTCACCAATATTCTCCAAGCCTTCATGTCGCCAGTCTGAGGATCCACCATCGACATCCGTGAAGGTAATCTCAAGTCTATTCTAATCTTAAGTTGCAACCATTGAGTAACCCTTCACTTGTTTTGACACGTATTGATGAGGTCAACCGCAATCGTGTGTCAACACCATCGATGTAAGGACCCTATAGCCTATATATATATATACAGATATTTTGGATAGATCATCAAACAACCAATGAATCTTTCGAGGAACATGGTCTCGATTCTCAGTCAACTTGCTGGCTCCTGCAATCTGGCGACACGGGGTCTGTGCCTGGAACCGTGGGACCCTGGCTGATTCACCACCCCTCGATGCTTCGAAGGAACTTGAACATGGATTGAACCATACTGAAACCATCAAATTGTCAAGGACGTTCGAGACTGTTAAGGATGTTCGGTGCCAGATGTTCGGGTTTTACGGATGTTTGGGTGGCCCGACCGCATTGGCTCGCCCCGGACCTGCCAGATGCCGTCGAGACGCCCTCAGCTCAGGGTGAGGCTCGGTGCCTTGCGGAACACGAGACGTCCAAGACCAGGGAGTGGGACTTGAGGAAAGCCACAGAGAAGATCTACAAGAAGCATCAAGAAGCTACTAGTAGCAAGGACGATATTAGGTTGGAGGCCATTACTACTAGTAACAAGAAGATGGATGGTGAAGATGGATTTTGCCACGTGAAGTTTCTCAGGCTCCCAAATCAATTAGAGAAAGTCAATCCCGAGGAAAGATGTCATCGGACATCGATCCAATTTGGCACTTCTTGGCGAAGCCGGTGGATCCGGTTGTACTGGCCGACTGCCCTGAATGATGAAAATCATTGGTGTGTCAAACATAGGACTCAACAAACTGCACGGGAAGGACCCGGCTTCAGAGTTTTTCCAGCCTTTCCTGCGCTGATGCTGCATAACACCTGGGGAAACGACAATGTCAAACTTTTAGACATATTCAAACAGCTAGCACATTGTCGCGTTCAAGACACATTGAAGTGCGTAGCGTAGGTAGTTCTTCTATTCGTGTGGCTTTCAGCTCCCACGCCGGAACTTGAACGATAAAGCCTTAAGTAATCGGGGCTTCATCAAATGTCCATGTTCTTGTTGATGGTACTTATTTGATCCCGGAGACATGGGCTGGTTGGCCAACTACTTAAGTTCCATGGTTAATATGTGGTGAACCCAAAGCTGCATACAATGCCTTTTGTACTCGTAGTATTCAGCACCGGTTGGAGAAAAGGATTAGATGGTTCAAAAGCCAGCAGCCATTGTCTCACATCCAAATGGCCGAGGAGGCTACAGATGAAGAGGAGGAGAAAGGCGCGGTTTCCTTTATCTCACTTCGCTGCGACATCACAAGCGACGAGATCATACAATCTAGGGGATGTGAGGGGCCTAAATTCTCGTCCAATCAGCAAGAATATGGAAATGGAAACGCACAGGACCCGTTTTCGCCCCAAAAGCCGTCGGGTGGAACTGGACTGATTGATCAAACTCGCGTGGATGGTCGGGTCCGATGTTTGGTCCACCGGAAGAAGATTCCCCAGACTGGTGGCTCTTGTATGCTTGGGTGGAAGTTAAGATATGTTGTGTTAAGATATGTTAAGACTGTCGAATGGATTTCTGTACCTGAAAGGCGTCAACCGGCAGCAAGGTAGCCTATACTAGCCGGATCTAGCCGGTTTTGAGAGCAGCCTGGTTGTATTTCGTTCGCCATTCAACAGCAAGCTAAACAGCTCGGCTAGGTCGTAAGAGTCTGACAGTCAAAGAGACCAGAAGTCAGAAATGATCAGCACTTTATTGGGAACGGATTGGAGACCTGAGCAGAAGTGTGGGGAAATTCGTAGAAGAGCAAAGTCCACAATTGGGTGAGGCAAAGTCTCAAGAGTCCTTCATTTCAGTCCTCTCAACTTCCTCGATGAGTGGCATGAATCGCAACGAACGAGGTGAAACAACATGTTTTCGACTAATCTAGAGGGATCGAGCAGTCCTCCTGCCGCAGTCCTTGTGTGAAAGAGTTAGCTTGACCAGCGACCTGGAAATACTCCATGTTACCGGGCTTGTGCTCCGAAGCAGAGGTGGTTTCTGGACATGCGCCGGTCTGTCCTTGTTTCCTTCACTTCCGGTCCATGCGCCGGGAGAAGTTGAATCCAAAATGCCAGGAGAAGAGACACAAGCGCTGCGAGTGCTGGACGGGGATGGGGTTTTCTGGCAGAGACCCAAGCCGAAGATCAGCCCAGGTCCCAACCTTGGAATTTGGTAGGACGGATTAATTGTATTTTCTATTTGATGGCACCTCTTAAGCCTCTCAAGCCAAAGAGTGGAAGATTGTAAGTAGACCAGCCTTTGTTGATGATAATCCTCCAAACCCGGCAGTTTCCCGTGTTTGTCAAAGGGCAGGTGATCAGCGGATTCCCCATTTGTCGTTGAAAGGGATTTGTTCCACTGATCGTGAATTATATTCTTTGCCAAGCAAGGTTAGACCTCGATGGTTGGGGATATGAAGCTTACGCTCAGCGGACGACCAGGAACAACATGATGCTTTCAATCGAGTAACGTTTATGATCGAAAGAAGGCTGGTGTTTTGCTTCACATAATATATATTCTGTTGCGAACGTGAGTTGCCAAGTTGGGGTCAAGGCAATCAAATGAATTCATTAGACATGACTATAGTTACACGCTGCCCATGAAAAGCTGGCCGTACCATCGTTTAATGATACCGTGTGCCAGTTAAATAAGATGTTTCCATGCCGGTGAATTGTTTGTCGGTCACTGCATTCAGAACAGGAGGAAGCTCAACCAAAGGTCAATGATGTCTTTACCTGATTCAAAAAAATATATATATATATTATATCCAATACATCCAATGTATTATAATTGACATGTCGATGCCCGCTCGCACAGACTACAAGCCATTCTTAATGCAGACACTGCTCGGTCAGCACGCACGCACGCGCTCTTGCGCTCCCCGACAGGAAATAGGCGTTTGTTCTAGTCTGAAAAACATGTCTAAAAACCATGCCATTTGCGAACAGTTGTGCACTTCTCCGGCAGCAAACGCTGTAAATACCGCCACCACCACAACTACCACTACCACTACCACGACCACTACCACACCTGGCGGGCTAATGACAACGGCGTCAGGCTGCGTGATGGAGGGACTGCCGTCAGAAAGCAACGTTTGGCACGGACCGCCCGGCCCCTGACTTTTGCAGTGCTTTTTACATCTGATCTAAAAGACGGCGCTCTTGCCTGCAGTTCGAGCCGTTTTTGGATCTTGAGCGACTAAAAGAGGGTGGGGGAGAGGTTGTTTTTCGTCACAAAGGGTTGTGGAAATGACAATTATTGTAAAAATCGACCGAATCATGGATCTGGAAGGGAGATGAAGGGATCAATATTTGGGCCCTTAAAGACGGCTTTTGGTTTTGACCCGCCAAGGCGCCAACCACTGTAAAATGGCAGTGTTTTTGCAAATTTCGATCAATGTGTCACAATGCGGCAAAAACTGCGTAAATACCGACGTCCTTTAAGCTGCGTGAGCGCAAAGCACTGTAATAGTAGTAGTAGTAGTAGTAGTAGTAGTAACTTTTAGTACTGGTACTAGTACTAGAGAGTATTAGTAGTTGTAGTAGCAGCAGCAGTAGCAGTAGTAGTAGTACTATGCCGGTCGGCGCGTTGGCCGACCGGCCGGCCGACGCGGTCATTGATTTCATTATTCGCCCGGATACACAAATAACACAATATTTCCGGAAAATTTACAAAAAATATATTGTTTTATGAATTTATAAGAAGGTCGATTTAATTCTTGTATATATTTTAGTAAGCATTTTTATTTTTTTATAAATAGAAAAAATAAATATTGGTTGAATATGTTGTAAATAAATAATGAAATGAAAGAATGAATTATATAACGATATTTAAATTATTATATTTCTTAATTATTTTTGATGATCTTTAAAATAGAAGAATTGATATATTTTAACATAAATTATATTTTATAGAGTCTATGATAAAAATTTATTCGTTTAAGAAAATAAAAATGCCGAGAATATATGCAATATATTTTTATTAAAATGGTTTATTATAAATAATATTAATTATTATTTGTTATTTTCGATATAAAAAATTATTTATACTTAGAACCCCGTGGTGGTTAAGAAAAGTGCCGCTTTCGAAAGCGGCAAAAATAAATGACGTATTAAAAGAAAAAAAACGACATCATTTCCCAAGAAACGCCGTTAGCAAAAAAAAACGCCGTCAGTAACATTCTTATGATTGTCCGCCACGAGTCACCGGATGCTTTTGGCTGATATTTAGCAGTGGTGGCACATGTTAACTTATGTTTTTTTAATAGCAGCATCTTGGAGCTTTGGTGTGATACCCTGTCACAGGAATCAGAGCCCACACAAACATGAAAATCCTTGCTTCACATGAAAATGTTGCAGGTGAAGCCCTAATTGTTTGGATGAACCCATGTCTCAAAGCTTGTTATGGAGCTATGCTTTCTGAAGGCTGGGTTTGGAAAGAGGATTGGTGGAGAAAAGGGTTGAACTACAAATTAAACCGTTCAAAAAACCCAATGGTTCTATCTTCAACATGTAGGCACTTCTTCACTAAGTTTCTCACAGTTGCATTTCCAAGGCATCTTTTTAAGCAGTAGCACCACTACTGTACTTGCGTTTCAGAAGCGCATACTTCTTCAAGAACATGCGTTGCAAAACCCGGGTGGTCACGGTTCTCACACTCACCCTGCGGGTCAAACGACACACATGTCCTATAGTGTCTTCATTTTGTTCATTTCCCCACGCTAGCGGGTTCAGGGCCAGCTGATTTCCCATCTTTAATTGCACCCTTATCTCATGTGCAAGGTGGGCAAGAGCATGAAATTTGGGTTTCAACCCAAAGGCGACCATTGACATTCCAAAAGCATGTCCACCCAGAAGGCGCTACCCCTTCAGCATCATAAACAGTCTCCAATACAAGTGTTTGGCACAGGTTTTGTGCAGCCAGAGGCCGTGGTCGTAAAGAATCTCCATCACGTGAAAGGAATGTTGCGCGGTGTGTTTGACCAGTTTCAATAGCCGCACGTGTTTCTGAGATGCAACCGTGGGTGAAGATAAATGTAGCCCTGCCACCCACGCAACCCATTTGCTCAACATGACTGTGTCACTTCCTTTGCTATTGCTCCATGGAGAATCCGCAAAGGACTTCATTGAAAAAAACGCCTTGCTGAATGACTGAAGTCCTGGGCTAAAACTGTTGACAAGAGCCCACAAGCGGAAACTATAGTGGGCTCGCTCCAGCCTGCTGTCAATATCCTTTGACTCATTTGCAGACCCATCATCAAAAAGGCCAACTCTGCAAAACAGAACGACGCAAGAGCCGACGAAATCGCGTCCGAGCCCGACCTTCCAAAGGTGGAAGAAGTCCAGTTTGAGAAGGTGTTCCGGTTTGGTGGAGTCAAAGTCAATGGTAGTCAAGATTGGTGTTGAAGACCATGGGCGGGAATTGAACATTGTAGGCGCCCATCTTGGTTCATGCTCAACCAGTTCAAATGGAAATCCAGGCGCTCCTGCTTGGCAAAGAGAACACATGAGATTTCCATATCTTGTACCAATTGTGTTGTAACTCCTGTCAAGATTCCCAATGGCAACTTGGTGTTTGAAGTCGCCTTTGGAACCAACGATGCAGCCATAGTAGCGGACACCACCCACATCCACACCTGAAGCAAATAGGTCCTTCAGGTCTTCCACCATAAGCTTGATGTGCTCGTGTTCAACCGCTGGGTGTCTTTTGTAGTACCAATGTGGAAGCCCGAACAGAACATGCCTCGTTAGGAAGGAATGGTTTTTGTTATTTGTTGACTGCTTGCAAGCTCGGTGAAAATCTTCCTGCCGCAAAGCATCCCCAACATTTCCGTTTTGGACAGGAATGTCCAAAGGAGGCAACTCAGACAGGTGTTGCTCACAACTGCATGTTTTGACATGCTCATCTAAGCCCAGAACCGCTTCCATGCTCCAAACCAAAAACTGTCCACGTTTAGGCCCACGACCTTCGTCCCCAAACAAAGCAAGAGGAATTACCCTGTCTAGTCGCGAATTGTTGGGTGAAGAAAAAATGGCGTGCTCACCATGGTACTTCCGGTAAGATTCCCAAAATGCTCGTAGCTGCAAACCGATTTTGGCACTGTCTTGAAAGCCTCCTGTGAGACACCCAGGGTATAGACGCATCAACTCTTTAACCCAGCTGGTTGGCCGCACCCAGTGAGAAGTGATAGAACCATTGTCAGTGTCATGGATCACATCTTCAATTCGAACTGGCATGGACAGGTTCCAGCGGAAAAATGTTGCGTGGAGATCCCTCTCATGGTTGTGGCTACGGCTCTTTCCAGAGGCACGCCCGGCGTGCAGCATGTTAGCTGTTCTGGAAGCTGTTGCCTCGGCTAGTGAGCGAGCGAGAGGATTTCACCACCCCCTACCAATGTCTGTTTACTTCAAATCCTAGACACTTCAGTCAAAACCGTTGGCAAAATAGGTGAAGAAGCAAAAGAATTGCCAACGCAGTTCAAACAAGCATAGCTGAGATGTCCATTGAATGAGCCAGGGTGTATTGGTGTATCCTATCATGATAAGTTTTGGCAATCCGGTGCGGCATTCAGAAGTGATTCACAATGGCTTAAATAATCTCACGTGTAGTAAAAAGCAAAAAGATCGTGGTTTGCTCGTGGGAAGGGCGTGCTACGTAACTCTTCAAATGTGTTTCTGTGAGTGAGACATAGATTAGGACCCCAAACCCCGCATCAACCACAACAGTCCAGATACCCCCTCTGCAAGATTTTCAGCAGCCTGTTCCATGAGCGGGTCCTCGGCCTCGGCTTCACCTGGCTTGATTGTGAAACAGGCGGATCAACTTTACTTTTTGGTATTTATAGTGGATGGAAGTTGGATGCTGAGGGTGGGGTGACAACTGCAGTTCAACTTTGGCAGATCTTTTTTCGTCGCCACGCGGTTTTCTGAAGAAGATCCACTCATGTGCAAAAACCTATGGGGATCATCCCACAGGAATGTCCACACGAAACATGAATTTTATTTCACAGCTCCTACTCACTTGCTTCTTTTCGCTGCGGGCTCTTCCGCAGATTCAGGCCGTTTCCGACCTGACGCCTTCGCTTTCGCATCCGCCTTGGCCTTTGCTTTGGCCTTTGCTCCAGCGGCGGGCTGAGCAGGGCCCTTTTTCCAAGCCATCCTCGGCAGGGAAAGCGGAACACACTAGAGCTTCTGAGCGGTTGCTCCTACTGTTTACATAAGATTCAACTTTTTGTGTGCAAAGGTCTTCAAGCGTGTATCCTTGCATGACCGATGTCACAACAAAAATGTTTCACAACCTTTTCATGTACACACGTCCCTGCAGTGTTGTACAAACCAAAAGGGAAGCAAAAGCATGGCCCCACAGTGTTGTACAAACCCAAGCTGAACATCCAAATCCAATCAACTGGGCTCATGGCGCCAGACGGGACTCAAGACATACTGCTTCGATGGACCTCAGAACAAATGCAAGTGATTGAGCCATGGACTGGTGCTTTTGGTCTGCCGAGGGTTTAGCCTAAAATCCCTGTCTATCAAAGCGATGCCAAAAATCCCATTGTATGGGAAGGTTACTGACTTGAAGTGGGGTATTCATCATTCATCCACATGACTGGATGTTCTGAGGTGAGTGCGACTTCTTGGCACTTTCAAAATTCTCCCGGAACTTCTTTTGCATCCTTAGCACCGTTGGGGCTCTCAGAGTGAAGCAGTCGGACCTGGAAGTCGGACCTCGAAATGAGGGAACTGAACGATGCCAAGCTTTCTTCTAGAAAACGAACTTTCTACTCGGGTAAGGACCCCTTGGTGAAGCCATTCACCAGCCCCGAGCTGTAGCTCTCGCAAATCTCTTCGTCAATGCCAAACAAGTTTTTGTGCAAACTGATCACTTTTTCCAATAGCCTGAGCGTACAAACAAAGTTTGTTGGTTGGTTGCGGTGATGTCGACAATTCCCTCCAAACAAAACCATGTCTTTCATTTTTCCAAACCAGGAAGTGACTTGTAGTTTGAGAAACTTTGTTTGTGTGTCAGTCTTGTTTGCCATCTTCTCCAGCTTGTCTTTGTGACCGCCTAACTTCTCCAAGCGCTTCTGGATTGCCTTGCTCACCTTGGCGACAAGTCCTGAAGCTTGAACATCAGCCCTCTCAATGTCCGGTGGGAAATTCACTTGCTTCATGATCTTTTGTTGATCAGCATCGTCTTCACTGTCAGCAGCTTCCTCATCATCGTCATCGTCATTACCTTTAATGAAACAACAGGGGTTCGACTTGTGAACAGGGCAAAGCAAACTTGATTATACTGTTTACCCGGCCCTCCCCATCAAACAGAACACCAATTCAAGAGTTGTCAGCCTGACATCAAAGCTCTATCACTAGTCTATGACTCTATGCGTAAAAGTGTCCTTCACTCTGTGTGTTCTTCATCCGACAGCTGAGGTCATACGATGTCATTTTGCCCGTCACTACGGGCACCGTCTGGTCATCCGTGGTCTCATCAATTGCTCTTTCCAAAATACTCCGTTGTGTTTTCCTTGGACACGATGAAAACCAGGCAGGATAAGCAAAGGTAACCGGTTCATTTATGTTGCTATTTAAAAAAGTTTGTGTACCTTATGAGTCCACGTTTTGCTATGGCAGCTATGGGGCCATGGGAAACTTGGCACATCATACCTTCCTACCCCACATTGTTTTTCTTGAAGCTACCCTCAAGAGACCCCAATAAAGAACCAAGAGACTTGCGTTGGCCTTTCTGGCTGGTTCTGACCCAGTACAAGGTGCCTTCCCCGTATTCACTCTTCCTCCAGGGGCAATCTTGGTTTCATGTTTGGGTGGCAGAAACAATCTAAAAAGCAAATGCAAGGTCTCAACAAAAGAGGCCAAGACAGCTCTACTGCCCAACCGCATGCCTCGTGAACCCAGGTGTGGCCAGGCAATGTTTCTTGGCGCCCATCCTCTTCTTCCTGGGCCGAGAAGGCGAGTGGAGAAGAAGGGGTGAAGGTAGGAGCATTGAGTGGGTGTTGATTGATCCGGGAATGAAGCAAATTGTTGATGCCAAGGATCTCCGGCCACTTCAGATCTATCATGTCTTGTTCTGATAGAAATTCGTAGTTGCTCTCAATCGTAAACTCATCCAACTCTTGGTAAACACGTCGAACCTTTGATACGAAGCGCTCCTGCGGACGAAGATTTACTGGAATGTTTTGTTTGGGAACAATCTATTTGGTTAACCTTGATGGCTGAAAAATCAAATCAAGAATGAAACTAAAGCATAAACCCAGTCCGTTTCGTGGCCACACTTCTCGAAGAGACTTTCAAGTTGGCGGCGTCCCCCATTCTCGGTGGTGTCTTTCCATTGTTCTGCAACTTCAGGCGGCACTTTGTACTCACCCTTACTGTTTGGGGTACACGCTCGTCGCAATCGTGCTGCTGCAGCAGCCACAGACAAAAAAGCCGGTGGTTTTTCTTCTATCCCTGGTTCTTCCAAGTACTCCTCATCAGCCACATCCCCAGGAATGGTAGTTGTAGTTCCGACCCCCCTTTCATCATTCTTAGGTTTAGGGGTCTTGACTTGCTCATCCCCTTTCGGGAGCTCAGAGTCAACATCAATGACGGCGCAAGCCTCATGAGCGCCCGACCTGTGCCCTTCCTCCGGAGGAACGACCTGTGTTGGCTCCGTACGGAGAGATTCAGCGCTGAGACCAAGCTGGTTGTCGGGCGAGAGGGTAAGAGGTGGGTCTGCCTGGGTCAAGGGGAAATCCACATCCATGGGCCCCCTCGAAGGGTCGACCTTGGATGAACAGTTCAACAACCAACCAAATACTCTGTTATGTTTTGTTGCTTTTGTAAAGCTAGTTCAGGCTGAAGGGCTGTTTCACCAACAGGAGCTGGTACTGCAGCTGAAGCAGCTGCTAGTAGTGGTGCCCCGGTCTCCGCTTCATCAGCGGCCCTTCTCCCAATGCCTTTGCCACGTCGAAGGCGCACAGCCTCAAAGAAAGGACAAATACATTGGTCTGTAGTTTGGGGTCTTGTTTGAACAACTAACAACGAGGAAAGAGTGTTGGTTCTTCATCTGAGTGGCTTCCAGCTTTTGTTTCTCAGCCAGCATTTGCTGGTATTGTGGATCGCTCTCAAGGCTCATGGTTTGTCCCCTCAAAATCTCGTGACCTCGTAAAAGAGATTCACTACTCATCTCTATTGAGTGGAGCCAAATGTAAAACTCCTGTCACAACAAGTGTTCTGCATGACCAAATTCCATCAAAATCCTGTTACGCTGAATTACGCCGGAATTACGCGGATTTACGCCGGAATTACGCGGATTTACGCCGGAATTATTTTCTAAGAATTCATGAAACTTTGGAAACAAACACGAAAACACTGTTCTTACGAGCATTTTGGTCACTCATGCTAGCAATCTCCTTGAATTAAGCCACATGGAGTTCACATGTCGAATTGTAGTCTACTGTACGCTTCCCCAATCAAGGGAGGCAAAATCCAAACAACTGTGGGAACACCTGGTTGTATTCCTCAGGGACTTTCAAAAGCTTTGAGCGGAGCACATAGCGTAAACATTGAATTAGGCTTGCATCTTCCCAAACATCACCTACTGGAAGCTGGACAAATAGATCCACAAGTGGTATATCAGAACTCACCTCCCAGCGTTTGCGTACATCCCCTGGAATGACTGGACGTGTTGAAAGTTGAAACAAACCCTTGAACATTTGAAGCCTGTTTTTGTTGGAACCCCCTCCACCTGTGGAAGCCGCGGCTTAGATCGGAGCAAAGCCTTTCTGGAACGCAGCACTTGCGCTGCAAAGGCTGGCGGATACTCCCTGGCAGCGGTGAGGTTTGGAAAAGATTTACAATTTACACAAAAAAACCAAAGCTCATGAACTCACAAACCCACAAAACAAATGCTAGCGCCTGACAAGGCACTGGGATTTTTTCAACTGGGGTGTCCCCTTGAATCTCACCTTCCCAGAACCATCCACGTACTTGATGGCCGTGGGGGGGCCGCGGTTCTTCTTGGCCTTTGGGTCTAAGCAGCTTTGATTTAAGAGAGCTACAAAGTAAGAAGGTGCCCACAACCTCGTAGCTTTCTCGTTCGGGTGCCCGTAGTTCTCCATGTTGAAGCAAGTTCTGTACATCTTAGCCATCGGCAAAACTATTATGGTAGGACACGTTTTCAAAGCTAGTCAGACTAGACCTACCCTACCCAATAAAAAGAGCTACAAAGCAAAGCCAGGTCTCAATGATTCCATGTTTCCGAAGGGTTACAAGAAGCCAGATCATTCTGTTGTGGTACATGATCAAGCTCGATCGAGGGTTCTCAAGGATAGGCATTCCACCGACACAAATAGTCAGCATTGTGACCAAGGCAAACCTCTACAGGGACCCAATTTGAAATGCAAGAGCTTTAAGCGTGAACAAGCATTTGAAGATACCTCAACCAAACTGTGGGGGTCCATTTTGGGAGCGTTACACTGGTAGCAACCCCCAACCTGGAAACCATATGGTTGGCCGACTGTGTTGACTTGTAATCAGGGTGGCCCATAGCATTCAAGACATCGCGTTGCGACGTGCCAACATTTATGGATACCCAAATTGAACAAAGCACTCCAGCCAAGACCAACAGATCTTCCCAGCTGCAATGGATGATGCTCTGCAAGATCAACCTTGGTCCCCACCCCCAAGAACCCAGAACATCCCAACGCTTTCAAAATCAAATTGCCAATCAAACTTCAAACAAGTATAAACAAGTAACAGAAATCCTCCAGACTCGTTGATGTCCATTGCAGATCTAGGATTCTGAGACTTGTCGTATGAAATGTCGTGCGCTGCAATTCCAAGCCCTACACTCTTGGCAAGCCTGCACAATCGACCGGTTCCTGAGAACAGTTCCATCACCTGAACCTCGCTCGCAGGTGGTGGCAAATCAAGCCAGCTCGTGGCTAAGACCAATAACACGAAGGCCTGGGATGGAATTCTGGGGTGGCCACGGTGTATACTATGACTCAGACTTGTTGGGCTGATGGGTCAGAGAGAAATAGACTGACGGCTGAACAAAAGAACATCAAGCCTTGGGAACATTGAAGGCCAACAATCTCCTCAGGGCAAGCTCCAGCTGGGATCGGTTCATGGCGTGTCACGGAATCCAATAAGGCTGCTACTTGATACTGGAAATTGGCTCTAGGGCACCATTCAAGAGGCAAAAACAGCCAAAGAGATTGAGGTTCAAGCCCGAAGAGAAAATGAACATCAAAGAAACTTCGAAGACCAGTTGAGAGGTTCCCGGCAAACCTATTGGCATTCCCACAGAAACATTCGCGATCAAACATGCCCGGATTTCCTGTCGGGCCATCCCAACGTTTTAGGAAAGCTTTCAGCACCCTGGGAGCTGGCATCGACGAGAAGAAGGCCTGCTGTACCTGGGGCAAACTTGTAGACGCATGAACGCGCGCACATGTTTCACGCACACACCCTGAAGCAAGAGACACTCGCGTGCATTTTGCCTCACAGCACCCCACGAGTAGATAGCGTTTCGATCGATAGATCTGAAAGAAAGATGGGAAAGAAGCTGCATAACTGATAAGCCAATCAGTGATTTCACTGCTTGACATGAACATCAATTTCCCCGGCACCCTCTACCTAGCCATCAGTCTCTCAGCTGGTCATACCAACAGTAAACTCACTTGATGCGGCCTCAAGAATGATAAAAACATGCTGAAGTCTTGAACCCTTTGTTTCAAGTAGAAGGCTAGCTCTGAAGCCAGTAGCAAGCAAGTCTTTCCATGTCAAGAAACTCTTCACTGCCGAATCCTCAAGGAATTCCTCTGCAAGCTTCACGGCAGTGGAGGGGTAGTGGTCGAGGCCACCGTCAGCTGGAAAGGCACAATTCCAGCGACGCTGGCAAAACTTCCAAAAAGGGTCCTGCAAAAAAGCATTCTAAAGAAGTCTCCCAAAAAAAGTCCATGGTCCGGTCCTCCAAAGAGCTGGGAGAGGTAACCTTGTTCTGAACAATGGTTTCAAATGCGGTGCGCAATGCCTGCCAAAAGGTCTTCATGGGATCCTTGGCTGCCTGGGTTCGGCGGGCAAACGTGGCCTTAGGTCCGTCTCCGCGCTGCTTTCTACCATCCGAGTGTCCTGCCTTCGCTGTTGTTGTTGCTGCTCCAGCTTTTGCTTTTGCTTTTGCTTTGGGCTTGCTGGAACGCGTGGTTCGCGGTTTTGCCTTTGCCTTTGCCTTCGCCTTGGCTGCCTTTTTTGCTGCTGGGCCCTTGCGGGCATCACCTTTCTCTGCGGGTGTTTCCTCGACTACTTTCTGACCTCGAGCACGCTTGGCAGCGGTTGCTTTGGGTGCAGCGGCAGGACGTTTCATTGCAGCGGCAGGACGTTTCATCCGCCCCCGACAAGACTGCCGCAAGCCGATCTGAGCAAGGCGGTCAATCTCCACGATTTCCTGCGTGCAACATGCATGCCAAAAAATGCTCCCACGAATCACTTAAAAGATTGCACAACTAACCACTTACGCATCCAAGTAAAATGGCTCCTTAGTCTCGCTTGCCGCCATTTCCTCCATGATTGGGCTGACAGCCTGTTTTGGTGGGGGGGCCCCGAAGCAGCGGTCTCGAGACCTGTGTCATGGGGCAGAGGCGTGAGCAAAGCGTGGCCCTCAACTGCATCAAGAGCAGGAAGATCCTTTCCCAGACCCTTGTCCGGGCTCTTGCCACCGGTCAAACAGTTCACAATTTGAGTGGCTTCGAAAGGAAGTGTTTCTTGTGCCTCTGATGCAGCTTGGCCTAGGCCACTTGACAAGGCAAAATGATTCGAGACTTAAGCTGGAACACGATCTAGACAAGAAGTCTTGCCAGGTCACTTGGATACTCATTGCAGCCAATGCAGTCCGACGTTCTGCCATTCCGAGCCTCATGAACAAAGCAAGCTAAAGCACAGGTAATGTGCCTTGTACATCATTGACGATAGAAACAACCTGAGTCTAACACTCCAACTGCTTGATCCGCTCCACAAGCATGGCTTCGTCCATGTCCTCTGGGACATCAGGCAGCGGCATTGGTGAGTATGGACTGCGAGCCCAAAGTGAACCAGGCGAATCTGTTGGCCGAAGTTCTCCACCAAGAGTGTAGGCTAGGTATTCATCGTTGATGGCAGGCTTTGAGTCAGGGGTGGAGGTTCCATCCAAAGTCTCCACTTCCTCCTTTGGCTGGTCTGCAATTTCTGCATCATCGGCTGTCGCTGTTGGCTCAACTGCAACTTCAACTTCGCCTTGAGACTCTGACTCAACGTTTGACTTGCTCTTCTTGGTCCGTGCCTTTGGTTCCCAAAACTGTTGAACCTTCGCGAACAAATTCTGTAAAGCCATGTCCTCAGAATCAAATTGGTAAAGTGGAACAGCTCAATGTGTGAAACCACACACAAGCCCACACTACTACTTCATTATTTCTATACAAGGCTCCCTGCGTTTGGAACCATCATTGCGCCGAACTATCAGGCTCATAAAGCCCTTGATCGCTGCTGCCTCACAGTGCACCACAGAAGGGCGCGTTGCCAGGCCAATGGTGGCACGAAACGCCTTCACCTGACAAGGGAAGAGACATTGGGGATCCAACTTGCGGGGTGTGTTCACAGCTAGAGTTTCCTAAGCACAACACCCCCGCCTCCCACTTAAGGTTGTCCATTGGCAAAGTCTTCGCAACTGACTGCCGTGGACACCAAAAGTCAACCATCATCTTCATGAGATGGACATTCAACTGAAGTGTCTCGTAGCTGATGAGGCCGGTTTTCTTAGCGTCTGGCCAAATGCATAGAGTTCTTCTCTTGACCACAGCACGACGAAAAGTCTCATCCCGGTCCCACAAATCAGCCAAGCCCTCCAAATCATCACCCTGAGGTTTTCGATGCCACACGTCAGGAGTAGCCATAGCAAAAGCGGGTTCCCAAGTTGGGAGTTCAGAGCCAAAGGATCTAGACATAAAACATATGTTGGAAAATTGTTCCATCAAGGTCGCCAGACACAGGTGCAGCATAAAGAAAGAATAGTAAAAACCGTGGGGCACTGCTTGAGCAGATCTAAGCCTGGCCACTTCACCAAACGCTCAAACTGAGAAACTTCATCTAGAGAAACCGCGCGTTGCGACCAGCCTTCATGCGCAGGGTGAAGTGGTAAAAATGCCCAGCCAAGGTTCCTGACAAGACAAGAACAAGACAAGAACGACGATGACGAGAGGATGACCAGGACAGCCAAGGCAACAGCAGCAACAACAATAACCAACACCACCACAACAACCACAACAACAACAGCTCCTTTTGTTTGTCATTTCTTGCCTTAATGAAGTACAAAGACATCGTATTGTTGATGCCATTGGCGCACACACACCTGCGTGGCAATCAGCAGCCGATGACCAGTCAGTGGTGATTGCAGCGTGTATCATGCGAGGAAGAGTGAAGGCCGTGAAGGCAACATTTTTCTATGAACAGACACATGGTGCAGTAGTATGATGCCTGTACACATTAATGACTTGACACACTTGCTCGGACCCGACAGGCTTTCAAGCAGTGCTTCCTGAAGCCTCGGGCAGTGCCATCTCAGCCTCGCCCTGGGCAGGTGACGGACCTTGGCAAGTGAAGTGAACCCAACTTCCCATGAGTTCCCAGGCCCGTGTGTTGTTCATGGTTCATTGAGACATGGACTTGGTCAGTTTTTTCCAAGCGACTCGGCTGTTTCTTCCATTCCCGAATGTATGATGCCAACTGGAAAATGTATTCCTTTGCCGTATAGTTTTCGACAAGTTCTTGGACGCGTTGAGGATCAAGGTCACACATGTCCTGAGACCAAGGGCAAGTTTCATCTTAGGAGATTGCTTCTCACAACATGTGAGGGCACAGACAAAAGCAGCGAAAGCTTGAACAAAAAACATCCATTGGATAGAGGTTCGGAAGGGTCATCGGTGGGCCAAAGAACCGCTTGAGCCTCGGCCCAGAACTTGTCAGGCAAATCATCAAGGCCTGCCAGCCACACCCACCCCCAAAAGTAAGCCTGGCTGTAGATAAACTGAGAATACTTGACTCGAAAAACAAATGTCCTGCCTGCTGACGTCAACATATCCTTGATAGTTTCGGTCCGAGATGTTGGCTTTGGTTCAGCCATGAATGAAAACTCGTGAAAACTAATCCAAGCGTTCACGACACTCAGAATTTCCACCTTGAGCCCTAATTGTGTTGGAGCGAGCTGAAAAGAGGAAGATCAAAACTTCTGGCATCATGTTGTGTCAAACTGAATTGAATCAAGCAAATCAACAGTCGATGGAGGGGCGGCGCCTCTCAGAAAGCTCGACCGGTCCAAAGGGGCTGCAGCTGAGCCAAGTTGTTCGTGAGTCATCCCACTATCCATCCTAAAATCTTCTAAGTGAGTGGTTCAGAAAGAACGCCGGCACATATTCTGAAAAACGCCGTCAGGTTTTAAGTTACGCCGGAGAATGGGAAACGCAAGTTTTTTTGTAAAAGTGCCGGCGTTGGGTTCCTAGGTATATAAATTAAAATTTGAATTTATTTATAAGGTATATATTTTATATATATATACGGTGGAATTTAAAATTGATTGAAAAATTTTGTAAAATTGTGTTTAATCTATATATATAGAGAATTTATATATAAGAAATAATTTAGATTCTATATTTAATTATATGATATTTGATATATAAATATGTATTTTATATAAAATATTAATATATTATTATATATATAAATATTCTATATATATATATATTTATTTTGTTTTAAATATGTTATATTTTTTTAGTTTTATTTTTTTTTATAAATAATATATAAATATATTTTTATTATATTAAATTATTATTAATGTAAAAAATATAGATTATTTATATATGATTAACATAAATTTATTTATATATATTTTTTGGGGAAGTATATAAGGAAAATGAATATTATTTGAAAATTATGTTATATTTGATTAAATATATTATAATTTATGTTTTGATTATTATATGAAGATTAAAACGAAATTAAATTTACGTAATTTTTAAATATATAAAGATCTTTCGTAATATTTATTATATAGAATTACGATTAATCGAAATAAAAGGGGGATATATTCGTATTTTTGAGATTTATTATTTTATTTGATCATTTTAATTAAATATATGTTCTTTGGAAAATAATAGATTCCGATCTATAAATATTATAAAAATTTTCTTGGTAGCACTTCCAACTACCATATTGAACGATTAATTATGAAATTTATTTTTTTTGGAGAAATAAATGATCGATTACCAAATAGTTACAGAAAGGAGCGCTCTGAGCGGCGCGTTTTTGCATTGTTTCATTTTGTTTCTATCTTTGTATTGCGTTTCTATTGATTTTTGTGCCATTGAAAGAATACTATTCTGCCTTAACCCCCCCCCTCCCCCAAAGGCAATTTCCAAAATTCCAATTTTCCAAAATTCCAATTTTCCAAAATTACAATTTTCCAAAATTCCAATTTTCCAAAAAAACCAAAGAAACCAAAAAAAACCAATTGTGCCAGGACTTTGCCTCACCCCCTCTTCCCCCCATGGTCTGTGCAGAATTGGTTTCTTTGGTTTTTTTGGAAAATTGGAATTTTGGAAAATTGGAATTTTGGATTTTTTGATTTCCTGGGATGTTTTAAATTTTCAATTTCCTTGGAAGTAGACAATACTACCACTTTCTCTCAATTCCAGAACAGTCTCTGAAACCCTCAGTGATTTGTTCATTAGGGTCTAATAATGCTCCTTCTGCTCCTTTAACTCGAAAATTGGTAATACCTGACATTTTAGAATTATAACCAATAAAATTGACATCTGCAATTTTTTCAAATGACATACCAATAATGAATTTGTTCTTTCTGTATTGACGATACGAAAAACTTAAACTGTCATGTATTGTATAGCTCTTCTTAAATAGTAAAAGATTTATGATAATGATTGCGCTTCAAATTCTGTGTATTTCTGGGAATTGCTTAATTGAATTTGCCAACTTAAACTACGGGTGGCATCTTGAAAACCTTTGTACCTTGTAAGTCATTTGTATCAGCATTACCAATATCATTAATTCTTCCATAGATCATAGGATTAATTCCATCTCGTATATACATAATTGTCAGGTAAGTATCGGTTCAGTTCTTCACCACTCCTTGGAGTTCTAAGTAAGGTAATGAATGCTCCAGTCAATTTAGAAGATAATTTTACAATATTCATATTAATTTCACCACCACCAGCATTGAATGTTTGGGTGATTGTGTGATAACAATTTGTAATGTTTCTTATCTTTGCCATTCCGCCCCCTTCTATGTCCTGCCATTCTAACACTCAATGGCTGACAAGTAGCACCAATATAGACATCGTCATTTTGTCATTTAGTATTCTGTAAAATTTGCCTTGGAGTAATCCACCATAACATTATATATTTTAATTAAGTTTAAATGTTTTTTTTTAAATGAGTGATTGGGGTTAAATCCATTGCTTATATTGGTGCCGGGATTGATGTTCCAAAGGCCGTTCCCTTCAAAATTGATATAGCTGTGGCTCATTAAAGGGTTAGGTTCTTTCAAATCAGAAGTTACAGCGTAACCATCCAACATTGAAACAATATCGGATGGATTGAGGTAGTCAAGTCTTTTGGGACTTTTGTTCCTTTCCTTTTTGTTTTTATTGTAGGGGTAGCATAGGTTGTTGTAGCAAATGTATTAGGTTGTTCTTGATTGATCTTATTACAGCACTTGCAAGGTTATGCCCAACCAAACGGGTTATTTCTGGTGACTTTTCCAATTCTTCTATAACATGTTTGTATTTCTCACTGTGATGAACAGTTCTAGTAGGTATTAATAACAGATCATCTATAATATCCCTTGTTAAAGATCCATCACAACCACCTGTGCCACTTCTGTATAAAGTCTTACTTGTTTTGTAAAAAGCACTTGGTGATGAATAGGCATTCCATAAGCCCCTGCGGTCTTCTATCTTCTCCTTGTTTGCTATATTTTTCTCTTCAGCATATAGTGTTCTATGTTGTTTAAAGTGATCATGTAAGTTTCTTGTAAAGTCATTCATTCTATCATTCCAATTTTGATTCTTTTTTTTTCATAATCACTGTAGGTTTCTTGACCGATCTTACTGAATAACATCTGGGCGCTTCCAGGCAGATCCTTCCAGGCAATGTCAGACACATCAATCATTCTCAAGAAAACGCATGAAAAAGGTTGAAAAATGTTCATTTTCATCGAAAAACGCGCCGCTCACAGCGCTCCCCTCTCAATAGTTAATATATTATTCTTCAAATATATATATTAAATATAGGATTCCTCCGTTCTTTTTTTTCTTTAATTCTTTTTCTTCTAAGCCGAAAAGATTTTTAGCCGGCAAAAATCAGGGGACACAATAATTTTTGAGCTCCAATGGTGAGAATTCATGATCCCTTGATTTGCCCAAATAATATTATATCATAAATATGAATACAGAGATGAAATACCTGAATTAAATAAAATCAAAATATTTATTTTAATTAATATTTCAATTGCAAAAATTAAATCATTTCTAGCTTCGGAAGTTCATCGTTTTCTAACGACCGATTGCAATGAATCCCTCAATCGATCGCCGACATTATCATATTTATAATTTATAAATATATGTTTTATATACAATGATGAAATATCAATTAATGCGTCGCTCCAAACAACTGAAATAGAAGGATTATGATTAGCAAACCAATAACAGATTCGGCGATCAATTCGACGCGACCGGAGGCCAGACATTGGTAATTATTGGGTCCATCTGGCGCCAAGCGCGTGCATTTCTTAATGCCATTTCTGGCTTCAATTTTGGAGGTATTTTATTTTTAATTTTTGAATAGGCGAAACCAAAATTAACTTCAATTTTGCATGCTTTTT